GCTGCTAATTAGCGAGGGAAGCGGGTAATTGATACCGATTCGAGGTAAATCGCGATCAAATTAGCTGTGGTCGGTATCGGTTGGTTTAATTGGCCAGCGACGAATTAATCGTGCACCATGGACTCGAATAAACGGGATTTAGTTTATCCAGATTTTAATTGGTTCCCGTGACAAGGCGGCTGGAAGAATGGAACAGGCACTCGTGATCATCTTCTAGCTCGCGTATCGTAGCCGTTCTCTCTGTTCTTGAGCAAATATTAAATTTCATACATCGCGTTAATAATATCCTCATGAATTTTCATCAAGACGATCTACTATGCACAGGTTGGTTCGAAGGGAAGGCGATGAAATTCTTTTCACCAGATAATTGCTATACGATAACGCGCATTAATTTTCCTGAACCAGGGAATTTATTTATTATAGAAAAAGAATAAGTTACCATTGTAAACGAATGTAAACGAATTAAAGGATAGTTAAATGAATTGATCAAAGTATAAAAGAGAAATGAAAAGTCTCTGGCCTCAACGACGGTCGATTTGTTAAACGTAGTACACACCTGCCCTGGCGTCGTTCCGGGACAATAAGCTCTATCTCGATCTCCCGAAAGGTCCATTTACCGTCTTGCCAGGAGCCAGCCTCACGGGGCCGATATATCGCTCGAAATAATCGTGTATAACGTTTCACTGTGAAGGTAGCGTGGCCATTGTCCTTGCCCGGATAACTACACTTGATCAAATTAGTTCTATCATTCTTGATTTTACACCATCAAGATGATAAACTTGAAAATTTATCTTATTTTTCGAAAATCGCTAGCATCGCCTTCTGAAATTGATAGAAATCCCTATGATCAAGTTGCGCGCACCGATATATGTATGTAACCGCTTCCGTGATAACGGCTAGGCAAAATGAACGGATATATCCGCTTCTCTCAGGCAAATGGGTTAAGAATCGCGCGTTTAGTATGCGAAACGAGCTTGAGACAGGTACAGGAAAACGAGATTCTTCCAGGGTTATAGACCCTTTGGATTGCATCGTTTCTACACTCTGATGACTGTACAACCTTTAAGCATAGGTACGCGGCCGTTTAAAATTACAATGTCGTCCCGTGTCGTTTTTGCATTCGCACGACTCCGCGAAGAGGTGAAACGGCCTCGAGATTTACGATCCTACCGATCCTCCCTCGTTCTATGCTAACCAGAGTGGTCCCGTTGCATTGCTAGCGGCAATACTTAATTAAAATAGATCCAACTTCCTGATCCAAGTGTTTTTTTTTTTTTTGTTTTTATTTTAAGTTTAACCAACAGAAATTGAAGCAATTAAAAAGGATCACTGGCTATCGGAGAATGATCTAAATATTAGGAACGGATGATACATCTCGTTAATTATAGATTGCACCAGCTATGCGAGTGATGAGGTCGTTTGACTTGATGACCCCATAATTATCCAGTGCAGCGTACTTGAGTAACAAAGCTTAATTAATACGGCAGCAACGAAATGAATTCCATTTCTCTACCGCCTAATCGCTTCAAGATAAAGTCGTGTGCGCAACGCGACTTGCGTTTCATTGAAATTGGAATGCATTGAAAACAATAAAAATCCGGAAGAACGGTTCGTCCTTCGAGCTTCCGTCTTACCAAGCAGATTGCCATTGGTAACGGTGGACCGTTAGCGGACCTTGAAGAGGCAGATCTCTGGCTGGTACATACTCGCTAGCGTAATTTACTCGTCGAGCGCCAGCGGCGTCGTTCTCGTTAGTTGACCGATTGCGAATTAAGGGGAGAAAGAGAACGTGAAAGTAAGAGGATCACCGGCTACCGGTGAACGAGCTTTGAAGATAGAAAGAGAAGGATCGATCGATGAATCACGATCGAGCTTGTGGATAAGTTCGAACACTTCGGTTTGCATATACGCGAGATACGAGATGCGAGATGCGAGATGCGTGACGCGTATCAACGTCTTCGCGGACGCGGTTATGCAAATCGTTGCTTATCGATGTCTGGCTGCCCCTGTGGACGTGATAAAAGCACCGATCATCGGTCATTTTCGTTCGTTAAGAGACGTCCGAAAGAGATCGCTAATCTCCGAACAAGGAGATAAAGGCTGTCTCTTCGTGTACGTATCAGTGGCTGTTGATCGCCGTCTGCTGACATCGCTTCGTGATCGTTAATTTAAGGATCTAGTATATGAAGCGACGTGCAAGAATTTCAATTCTTTCATCGTCTAATTAAAGTTAAAAGTTAAACTTTTATCGTGGATGACTAGTTTCACTGTGCTTCTACTGCGGGTGACCTCTACTACTGATTTCTACTGCATAGCGTTCGGGATAATCTTTTCAATTTCGACCGGTTTCATTGGTAAAACAGCCTGTAGAGACTGTAGAGACTGTAGAGTCTGAAGTAAAGGAATGGAAGGAACTCTATGGTGAAACGAGACACTACTGTCCCGTGCAGGGTGATTGGCCGATCTCTTCGCGGCGCGTTATCTGTTTCCTCGAATCTCGGAATCGAACCGTACGAAAGGAAGGAACACGCTGCCAGCTTGGCCACGACTGGCAACTTTAATTGGAGGTTCGGCAGCTAGGCTGAAAGAAACGGGAAACGTGCACGGAGTGAAGATGCCACTCGGTTTTCTCGACTGGCTCGATCAACGTTGCTGGACACACGTCGCGTCGCGCCGTTACCTTTGTCACCGACTCTCTATCCGATGCTACTCCGCATTAATGTCCGCCACGGTGTCACCGAGATTCTGCTAATTGGACGGTATAAGTAGAAGAGAAATACACGCGAATGGGACTCTGTACACAGTGTACAGTGAAACGACGTCACTGTAAAGGGGCGAATGTATTGTTATTTAAGAACAATTACTCCTCCAAATTAAGCGAACTAAAATGAAACATGATACTGAAAGTAGGAAAAGCGTCTGTCGGTGAGAAGTTGAAAAGAAAGGAAGAATCTGTACGGTGCTGGAGAGGAAAGAGACGATGGCGTTCTGCCGATCGGATTAACGACGACGACCATCCACGTGGACAAGCGAGTCAACGGTCGTTAAATTTAATGGGCCCGCTCGTTAATTCCGTATATACCGACGGTTTCGCGTATGCAATAACGAATTACGCAAACGACTCGGTACGCCGTTGCTCGAGCGTACGCGAGCATTTTCATAATATTCCCTCCTCCCGGAACCGTCGTCAATTAACCAACGGTGCGTGCGTGCGTGCGTGCGTGCGTGCGTGCGTGCGTGCGTCCGGTTTGAAACTCCATCGACCGGACCAGTCGAATTTCGACGACGGGGGATTAATTTTGACGTGGTGAGTCGTTTACGATAACGCTCGTTACCGATACCACGCTTATCCAGAGGAAAAGAGATACCGCGACTCTGCCGAATTACGAGAGACTCGTTCAAGATGTATCGTTGGCATCGTCGTGGACAACGCGAAATACCCCAGGTGATAATGTAAATAAGGGGACCAGGAGCAATTTGCGACTCGAGCACGCGTGTAATTTAATTGTTACATTATGCGACCTATAAAGATATTATTCATGAAACCTGATATCGTCCCGAGACGCTTCTTCGATGGGAACATGGACATATCGTCGCGCGCATTCTGTTAATATTTTGAAGGAAATGGTCTATTGTTGTAGCTAAGAATCCCATTCAGAGCAGGAAGGAAGAATGTCTGTTGCATCATTACCATCTTCTCCGACAATTACTTAACCCTTGCTCTTAGATCGAGACTCGACTCGCGCGCAACCAAGGTCATAGGTCATCGAATTATTGGCTGTCACGAGGCGTCCGAAACGACGCGATTTCGTCACCGGCGACGATTTAACCGAGCGGATTCAAGTGCCTACCAGCTGCTGCCATGCCGGGATATCGTAGAACGGATCGCGAGTCGTTCGACGATTTAAGGAGAGTCTTTGTCGAGTCGTGACGACGATCGGTTCGATCCCATTGCTTGCGACACCCGTTGAGAAAGCAAAAATACGACCGGCTTGTTCCGTTAATCGAGTCTTAACGATCTTCGACCGTGTTTCGATATCTCCGACAGGATTTTAACCGGCCGGATCTTAAATTTCAGCTACTTGAAAATTCACTGAATTTCGAAGATTACTACTGAAATAACCACGGCAAGTACGAAAGTACTTTTTATCGTTGCAAGGGGTGGTTATGATTTTACATCGATTTCTTGTTACCTACTAATATACGAAGCACGTTGTTACGGCTAGAAATATATACGGTATCAACAGCAATTACGTATGCAGAAATTAATTACGTTCAGAGGAAACCGTACGAGAAAATTAATTACACGTTCGATATCGTAGTCGATATTAGGTTACCAATGAAAAATATAGTACCTATAAGATATTAACCGTTTCGTTACTAAAGATTCAAACGGGAAATGCGATTCGTAAAATAACGACAACAAGTAGATGTTCAACTAGTAGGTAATGTTCGAAATCGGGGGTGAAAATAAAATTTTCGCTCTTCTAACGGGAGCAAAACATAGAGCAGATCTTGGCTAGTTCAGGAGAGTGGTTCTCTTTTCCCATCCAACGCAAGCAACGTTTGCCCTCTCCCCGTCCCGATCGGGGGCAACCCTCGTTACGGGTCTCGGCTAGCCGTAATCAATTTCACGCATTGATTAATACGAAGTAAATGAATACCTGGGAATCGTTGCAGGGCTTTCGATGGCGCGAGCGAGCTAGCGGACGACGAGAGTGAGAGATGATTTATCCGGCGTGGGTCGAGGGCTGCCCGCCACGCGTAATTATCATACGACAGCCGATTAAAATTGCGGCCGTGCTCGCGCTCAACATCAATTTCAGCTAATTACATGCATTTTCATGTCTGCGCATGGAAAAATCGGCCGCTACGTGACGCACACCGATCAGATTCAACCCTTTGCTGCGTGAGAACTCTCGATTATTCCCTGCCGCAACTGATCGATCAGTGTTTCCCAACCTTATTCTAAACATAATAAAAATGAACGTTTCACTCACCGGTACGTTGTACAGGTCGCACGTCCGTCTCCCATAGGCAGCTTCTCCACTCGTTTTGCGCTCCTCAGTTCAAGATTTCGAAGCTTCCTCCGGAAGCTGTGCCTCGCTCGAATCCACGGAACGCTCGCGGAGCTCCTTGGAAAGCTACATCGTTTTCGAACCTTTCCTTCGATATTCTTCATAAACATAACTGAACCACCTTTCTTCTCTTCTGAAAGAAGCTTTTCAACTCCATCGATCTTCCCTTGGTCATTCAATCCTCCAACTTTCGTTTCCCTTTTTCTTGAATCTACAATTTCTTTACTAGATTTATCTTTCTGCAGAGCTGCATTTTCGAAAGTTCGATCTTTGCCAGAAACGCATATGCTTGAAGCAGAACACTTTCTTCCTTCAACCAAAAAGTTAGTCGCAGTGGAGAAGATGTCCTTTTCCGAATTTGATAAAGAGGATTTCGATAATTTCAATCTTGGTACCGTTATCTGACTTCCAGAAACGGTGTCACAATCTTCGTCCAATGTTTTACTTAAATTTTCAGTGTTGCTCAAGTTGGAATCACTTTTTTCGGTCTCGTCGTCAGTTCTTAAGGACCTTTCGCTTCTAAAGTCGGAAACAGCTTCTTTGTCTCGTTCAGGGTTCAATATACTCGAGGATTTTCGAAGACTGACCTCGTGTATATTGTCAGCAAGGTTTTGCAATTCTGCAACGCGTTTTTCCAAAACGGCGATTCGACGATCACGCGCTTTCAATAGATAAAGAGCCTTCTGTGCTCGCTGCTCCTCGTCCAACGCGTTCCTGAAACAATATTTAACGTGTTAAACTTCTTCTTACATACTACGAACGACAAACATTTTAAGCACAATAAACAGAAGTCGTTCGAAAAGAACGCAGAGTTAACGGTCAAGATTAAAGGATAGTAGAGGGGTGGTTTTTACAAAGAACAACGTCAATTAATATCCTAAGAAGCCATTATTAACGTCCGTGGAAAGCGTCTGCGATGCGGCGAGTTCCCGACGACTTAAAGTGCTTAAGGAAACCGAAATAAATTACGCCACGGAGAGAGGTGCATATTTAATTCGAGCAATTAATGCCGTCTTGTAAAACACGCCGCTGGGGTGGCTGTTGCCTGTAGTCCTCCCTCTTTCCTGGCAGTAATGAGCCCGATAAATCAACTAGCTCTGCACTCGAAACTTCGCGGATAACTTTGGGCTCCTGCAGTTTCTTCTTGGCTACCAAACGTTTGTCCTACGCTTACTTCGCGTCATTGATAAATTCGAAAGAAACCCTTTTCTTTTTTTGGAAAACTTAATTAATCAATTTTAAAAATCGATGATAAGACAAAGATAAAATCGAATTGAGCAAAGAATAATTTTCTAATCGAGTACAGAAATCAGTAAATCAGCCCAACCGAAAGACGGTATCGCGCGAATTTCACTGGGTATCTAATCCTCGTTGGCCACCCTCGGAACTCTGGCGATTAATTAGGCATAAAAATCTGGTCGTTTGCGAGAAAAAAAATGCCACAGATTGCCCTACTTAATCCTCGTACAACCGCCTTCTGCGCTGGGGATGACGCCTCCTGACGTTCCGCTGGAAATTCATTAAAGCGATATCCCATTTATTCCAAACGACCCTCGAGTCCTGGCCAAATGAAATAAGAGCCGCGTAATCCGCTAATCAATCCGTCGTCACCCCTCCAAATTGTTTCATTTTCCTTTTTCCTTTTTCCTTTTTCATTCTCCGCTGGCTCGCAGAAGAAGGAAAGGAAAATTTGAAATTCATGGCAAGAGGAAGAAATAATCAAAATGAAATCCTATCAAACTATAATGCTTTGTTGCATTAAACCAGCTGATTTAAGCAAAGTATGAATTATCCGAAAGACGTGCAACGAGGGGAGGACGCGTTGGTCCGGCGCAAAAGGAAGCTGTTTCCTTGTAGGTACGAGCTCGTAATATGGCTTATTAAAATTACACAGGGAACAGAGTGGAGGGTTTGGGTGTCGACCACATCCCGTCTAGGGACAGACCGCGACAGCTCGTGTCCAGGAGGGTAAGCGAGGAGTTCCAAGTCCATTCCACGGGGTTGTTGCTTTATACACGACCAACTCGACCAGCCGAGATCGGGATTGCTCTTCCTCGACCACCAGCCATCTCGCCCTTCCGGATTAATGTTATCGCTTCGACTGCTTGACCTCGCCGACTCTTACAGCCAACGACTGTCATCAGTTCACCTCTAACTGCGACCTTGCTAAGATTCTGATTTCACCCTTTACATCCTATCGCTATCGCTAAGCTTAAAGTGTTAATCGTGAACGGTAATACCGGAAGAAAAATCATCGTATCCGCGATACCCACGCGTACGATTGCTACGCCGATATTAATTACGATAATTGCTATCGAGATGATGAACGATGTCTATTGAACCGGTCACCATCCTGTTCTCGTGACAACGATCTTGTGGTCGTTCTGTAATTAAAGTTGGCTAATGAAGCATCCGCGAGGCTGATCGTCGATCCAGAGTTTTACTTTGCTGATTTTAATACGTCCTTCAGTTACTTCGATTATCGTGCCGAGTTGCCCTTTGCTTATTTATCGCCGATGCTGGTTAATTGCGACGTCGAATGACGCGGTTACCTTCTTATTTCGTCCAAGTATTAATTAAAAGAGAAATCCAAAAGAAGATCATCGAGATATTCCAGAATCATTGTAGCAGAACGACGAATTAACGCGCGATTATGTTCGGTGTATTATACCGTGTTGAATGAAAAGTCGTGCGCGATATTCCCCACGCGAGGCCACGACTCTTCGGGTCGATTTATCGTTTAAAGCTTGCCCTGTGCCGTAGGCGGCTTTAGCAGTTCAAGTTAATTTCGGAAACAATGTGTGTCATTGCCAGAAATCTTCTCTCGCGGCGAAGGGGTTAAAATTCTAACGATAAGTTAACTTCGTATGGGTGTAACGGCATGAGTGCACAAGTTCGAGTCGATGAGGAAGAAAAGCGTGTCGAAAAACGGTCGTTCCATTACACGGCGCGGCGGTCACCGTAACCGGTGGACTCGAGCGACCGATACAAGAACGAAATCGTCGTGGTTCGCCGTGAATCGGCTAATCTTCCGATTCACACGAGGCAAGGACGTGGAACGGCCTCTTGAAAGCTGGCCACGACAGGGACTATCCTTCTTGCCACCGCCATCGTTACCATCGTTAAGCAAGTCCGAGCGAGAGAGCCTGCTCGGAAATCGTTTAGCGTAATTACGCCTCTTGTCACGGCCCTATGCTTCGTCCCTCTTCACCAACACAACGGACAAATAAAAATATAACCAGTTTTCTTTTTTCTTTCTTTCTTTCTTTTTAATACAACCACTGGATGCTGTAAGCTATGGTATCGAGGTGATGGATACACGATGGATGACTACCTGGCATTCCTTCGCGACGACATTAACCCTTTCGGTACGATCATCGATTATACTGGTTGCTCGCTAAACTCTCATATACGATTGTTACTTTCCCTTGTACGACCGTTTAAAAATAGTAATTTCCTTTAGAAAAACATTCATATCCAAGCTGTGTTACATAGTAACTACCCCGAAGTTGATTGGCCTCCCGAAGAAACGTAAAGAATGTTCGGTGTATCAGAAGGAACATATTAAACGGACAGATCAGACAAGAGTTTCTTGATCCGAAGAGTATCATCGATCGACGCGTATTTCATCGGCAGTAATTACATAACGTCACCGGGATAGAAAGCGGAGGAAGCTCAGAGGCGAAGAAGAAAAAGAAGAAAGAGAAGATGAAGAAGGAGGAGAGGAGGTCGCGTCGACGCGTTCCTTTTACAGGCTGCTTCTTAACGATCTCTCGCGCGATACCGCCTAATGACTAGCGCGCGGCCATCTTCGTGTCCCGATACGGCATTCGAAGAAAAGCATCGGACCGGGTATCCGTCAGTTCTGTGTGCCAGAAATCGAGCTGCAAGTCACGCCGCGCCGCGCCGCGCCGCACCGCCTCGAGAAGGGTGAGACGAGCTTCCGAGATCTCTGGGGCCAGCCATATCCACTCACCTCTTCTATCTCTTCGTCTTCTTCTCGCTTCGAGAGATCAACTCACGGTTCCTCTTTCTACAGCAGCGTTCCGTAAGCGGCGCTTCTTTTAGGCCATCACTACCGAACAAGCAGCTCGGGAATCCACCTTATTGACAGGTTCACGGCTCCCGAAGATATTCTTCTGCTATGGTATACGCGGCACGTATACCTTTCTTTCTTTCTCGTTGCTTCTTCGCTCTGCTACCTCTACCACCCTCGTTCGCTAGGCAAACTTGTCGTCATCCTCGAAATAGTTGGATGAAATGTTTCTCTGAGCGTCGAGATAAATGAATTTTTTGTAAAGTCGACCAAGCTTTTCTCGGATGAATGAGAATAAATGATACCTTAGAGAGAAAGAAATCATCGTAAGACAGTAGGTACTTGAAGAATGGCAAAGAATCGATAGAGCATTGTACGTGACTGAAAGGGAAGGGAAGGGAAGGGAAGGAAGAAAACACCGTAAGAACGAGGGCGACAACATCTTGAGCAGAGGAAGAAGAAACAAGAGCGTACGGTTGGACCATTAACACCTCCCGGACAAATCACTCGATTTTCTCGGACGATTTTCCCGCAGCACGTCCGGCAAATAAGAAAACACGATGTATCACCCGTGGGACGAGGAGGCGTGAAGGGGGTGGAAGAAGAACGGTGGGGTGGTTTACTGGCAGGCCGGTAATGAGGAAACAGATGGCCTGCTACGGGACGAAGGACGCGAGAGGCGCAACGAGTAGACGCGCGTGTCCCGCAGGAAGAGGGGCTACCAGCTACGGAGTCGAGGAAGCTTGATGAAGTGCCGCCATTATCGGTACAGGACAAAACCCACTTCTGGCTGGACGTTCAGCGACTTTATTACCCGCGAACACATCGCATCGGTCCCACACTGGCACTCGGAACTGTCGTTCTTCGAGCTTAACGAGCTCACCGTTATCGGGATTCTTCTAGTTACTTGTTACGCCAACATCACCTACCGCTGTAATTTCTACTTCGTTCCGTTCAAGCCATTGCTTCGCTATATGCAGTTAGAAAGACCCGCGTGTACGCTTGTTCTTGCTGCTTAATAATTGTGCGTTCAACTTGTTGCTATTCGCGTTAATTAGTCACGCAATATTAATCAGCCGTGCGTCGCGTTGGCGAGAAAGCTGGTAGCTTCTTTTAATGGCGCAGGAACGCTCGCACAGCTTATCACTTGTTTTTAACAAATATTTCATTCTGCCGCATAGTTACGTAACAAGCGTTTCATCCTACCGGTTCAGGATTAATCATCTGAATCTTCCTATAAATCCTCCTTTTTGTCATGAGAAAACGTTGCTGGTACTTAACATTCATAAAGGATCCATACAAAGGTACCGGCTTAGGTAGTTAATCAACAGCTTTGCTTTCCGCGTAATTTAATTACTGCAAACAGTTCAACGTCCAAATTAACCCTTGTACGTACCATTCATTTTCGACGATGGAAGTTTCAGTTAAATTCTGAATTTTATCGAAAAGCACGAAGGATTTTATTGAGCAATGGGAGCGATCAATATGATGATTCTAACGAAGAGGGTTCGCGAATTCTCAGGGCGGTGCATCAAGAAGGAAAGTGCGTTAAGAAGGGAAACGAACTTCCGTTGTACTCGTCGAAATTTATTGCTCTATTCTACCTACTTCCACCACGGAGGTACGTCGACAGCAAGATAATTATGTAATCAGAATTGTATTCGAGTCGTTATATTGCTGTATAAGTAGGCCTTAATTTATGTATAATATTCCTTTTACGGTGTTTCTGAGCGATTTATCGGATATAAGGAAATAAACCGTTTCGTGGTGCGAAAATAAGAATCGAAGAAAAGGTAAATACCTGCGCCCTCGTTTCATCTCGAGCAATGGTTAATCGATTCGCAGGAGAAATCAACTCGAAACTCTGAACGGTGTACATATGTAGAGGGAATAATTGGCTGAACGATGTATCGTTTATCATAGAATCAGTCAGAACTCGCCAACTGGAATACAAAGGAAAATCGAACGTGTGCGCTGGTATTAGCTTCATTGTCTTCGAACGACGTTTCCATTCTCCCAAGCGTTTCCCACGTGTTGCGTTACACCCTGTATATAATATTATCGATGGATTTCACGGATCCCACGGACGTTCGTTCGAAGGCAGACGGAATAAAAGAATAAAAGAATAAAAGAATAAAAGAATAAAAGAAACGGATCGGACACCGTTAAGCCGTTAAGGGTTCAAATGTAGATCGGTCGATGATGTCGGTGCAACGTTCACCGTTATCCAACGAAATAAAAGAGAATCACCTGGTGATAGGGAGAAGAAGGAGGACAAACGAGAGGATTCTAAATTGGTTGGAAGGCGCGTGGCGCACATGGTCGTTCGTGCATAACCATCGCATCGGGGCAAAAAGTGTCCGCGATCTTGTTTCACTGTCCGCAAAGTGATCACTTCGCTTTACCCGATCTTCAGGTCCTTGCGGTCGATTCGCACGAAAACAATTTTCTTTCTAATGTCGCGACAATTTTACTTGTACGCAAATGTTTCGGATCCAACTTATTTCCAACGGAAGCAATTTATCCAGTCTAAGCTAGGTCCAGATACTCATGAAAGGAGTAACAACAAACGCGATCGTGGTATAGAAGGCACGAAAAAGCTTTATAAACGGTTTATGAGCGCAATAATCCGCTCGCGAGTAACACAATACAGGCTAATTATAGAGGACGAGGTCCAGGCTGGCCGACAGGCATTAACGTACCCGTTAAACTCACCGTCAACGACAGCCTGGGTGGCTTCCCTATTTTCGTCTTTTTTTCTTACTACTTTTTCTTTACCTCTCGCTCGCTCCGCTAGTTTCCCTCCCACTTTGCTAATGCGTCTCTGTTATTTCAGTCCTTATCCCTGACAGCTAGAGATGCCAGGCGACTTTTTCGATTCGTGTAAACCGATCTTAAATCATCGCGACATTCTTTTTTCTTTTACAGGAATTTGCAAGATAAATAAAGCGATTCTTCTCTATCCAATTCTTTGTTCTTTTCTTTATTATCCCACCCCTTTCTTCGAAGGCCCTACAATTGAAACTTGACCATTCCCTGATACAGCTTCGACGAAAGGTGAGTTCCGCAGCTGAAGAATTTAATTACCGTGTCACGAAATAATCACTAACCGCGTGCAAAGCAAGTGGCAATTACATATAATTGACACGTACAGGTAAACGGTAGTTGCAGCTGATTTCGCGACGTTACAAGTGAAAGAAGACTGCTCTGAAACATATGTCTGGGTCGGAACGTGCGTGTTCCAACACAATTTCTGACCAACTGTCCAACCGTAACGTGTTATTTCACCATAACTGTCGACTCTTCTTCAGCTCGCCGTCGCCGTCGCCGTCGCCGTCGCCGTCGTTGCTTCGACTTGTTCCTGAGGAGAAAAGCTGAAGACAAGCAACGGCGTTCTCGAGCCGAGAACGAATCGAATCGAATCGAATCGATTCGAAGGTTGCAACTCGTAGGAAGGAACGAACGAAAACGATTTGCGGTCGACATTACGTCTGAAATCGAGTTTTCCGCGGAACCACCTCCGTTCGACCGCAAATCGTTCGAATCTTTTCCTCTTTTTTTTATCAAACCGACATTAATATACTCGAAATAGCGAGCCACGATCGATACTGTAATCGTGTCTACCGCTATGTAAAGCGGCTTTATCCGGCCTTGTAAGCTCGTACTTGAGAAAGCTACGGGATAAATCTCATCGACGACACGTCGTTTTTCACCTTTTCAAGATTATCAGTCAACCGTATGCGCGCATTCTATCAACCGGCTAAGGACGTTTAACGAGAATGGTTGCAACTAATTTTCAAGAGACAAGAGAAAAAAACAAGGAGGATTCGCTCGAAGGACTTAATTATCGTCGTATGGTTCATGGTACTGGGAACACAGCTCGAGTTCCCCGTGAGAAGAGCGACCTTTCGCTCCATGTGCACACGGTGCCCCGGTGATTCAATTTGTTTTCCAGTTTTTCTACGCTTGGAACTCGTATTAACATTCGTCTGGAGGAGGATGGTATCAATTACAGTGACTGATCGACGGAGATTCGTCGAGAAGGAAAAATTCTTTCACCTCTGCTGCGTGTTCGTTGCTCGGTAATGCGAAAACAAGGTCAAACTGCTTGTGTATTTATGAATCGCGTTCTTTTTCTTATTAGGGGGTATTACGTAATCGTACGAAATAAGTAGAAAAATAATAGCGCGTATCACGCTTAAAGAAATTGTAAGTGAAGCATGCTAGGGGTAATCGTAGGAAAGTCGTACGTAAGTCGAAGGAAGAGCGATCCGATACGGAAGACAGGTCGGCTGTTCACCGGTTCAAGTACAAAAAGCGGCACCCTTGTCGTGGGTGACGGGGCGATTTCGTCGACCCTCGTTTTGTAAACTAGGCGCGAGGGAATTTCGAGCTAAAAAGCGGGTGATTAATGATCGTCGGTCTCTAAAAAGGTCGTCGCGTCCCATGGGTTGTCTCTCTTCCGCCCATGCTCGTAGCAGTCGCTCAGGACTGTGAGCCAGCCAGTAATTGATTCCGGATTACTTGTCGCCGACAAGAGGAACACGACCGTCACACTCTGATCTGTACATGTCCCGTCGACGGACAGGAATTATTCGATGAATCTCTCCGCGATACGCCCCTCGAATCTTTCTCTCTTGCTTCGCCGAGAATAGGATGGATGGATGGATGGATCAAGTTGCCACCTCTACTTTTATCATTTTACTCATCAAATTACTTAACCCTTTGACTATATATTTTTTATTCGATTTAAAGAATAATACGCGAAAGAATAAAATTGAAGAACATCAGGACGCAACGTTTCTCTACGAAGCCTCGATCATTCGATGCTGGAAGGCAATGAGTTAGCAACAAAATCCTGTTTCGATATTTTTAAGTCTCTCGGAATAAAGTCGACGCGGCGCGGCGCGGCGCGGCGCGGCGTGGCGGTCGTTCAATCATTCGTGGTGTCGCGCGACAAGAACCCTTTGACACGAGGAAGCTCATTACGATCGAATTCCTCCGCGAACGAACATGCAGAGATGAAAAAGAAAGTGTCCATCGCAGGTATGTATTTCCAGCGCGTTAGAGAGGGCCCGAGTGTCGGTCGCGTCACACTCGTGACAAATGAGACGTTGTCGTGCGTTTGTTCAAATTACTCCTGACTCCCGGACTCCCGGACTCCCGACTCCCAGCATTCCGCGTGCACGCTCCTCGTCTGGCTCTCAACGAGCTTTGAAATATTACCCTCGTCACCTCTAAACCGTTTCCTGCGACGAGAATCGGCTACGAAAAACGCCTCGACGCGATCGTCTAACGGTTCATCCTTTTCCAACGACCGCCAAGCTTTTTGTCAACCTACAATGTACTTACGTTAAGCCACGAATCGTGAGTTTGCAGCCTTCAATTGTCCGGCTTCTTACCATCGCAATCTTCTATTTAAGTATGAAACGCGCTTTTTACCCTTTCTATGATTTCTTCGTGTTTCAGAGTTATGCGCCAAGCGTGACTGCTTTTTCCTCCGGCTGAACGATGCACATGCAGCGATGGACATTGCCAGTCCTTTCAGATTCGAACGTTTAATGCTTGTAACGGACACGTGTATGTATGTACAGGACTGTATCGCAATACTTTGAAAGAATAGTTTCATCTTTCTATCTACAACTATTCGCGACTCGAAAACTTATCAAAACGGTCAATTTTTTCATTTCCATCGAGTTCACGAAGCATATCCGAAACGGAGAAGCTCGTGTTGACTCGGTAGCGGGAAATCAAAGCATCCAGTTAGAATTTTTACTTTGAAATCGGGATGATAGCGGAGCGCGCGTACGCGTGCGATGGAAGCCAGATTGACCGGTGTTTGCGAAGAGCAAACGCAGCTAATTAAAATCCCCTGGCTTTCCTCGACGACCGGTAATCAACGAATGCCTTTAGGCTACGAGGATGGTCAACGATCCATGACCCTTCAACCCTCTTCGCCGCAGAAGAATCGACTAAACTCCCGCGATTCCATCGATTTCGACGTTTATATCATATTTTTTCTTTACTGCTTACCTTACGATGCAGCTTTCGATTTTCCTAGCGAGAGTTTTCGGAGAGCATTCCGTGGTTTTGCATCGTCGATCTTGTCGCGAATCGTTGGGCATCATCTGAAAAGAGAAATGTAGCGAGGATTTAATATTCCTGTTGCATTTTCTGAGAATTTCCTAATCGTGTTTGACACGAGTGTCGCCCCGGTTCGTTCGTAAATTAGTTTCATGGAACGAGAGTGAAAAGAAGGTACATACGCGTTTCCGCCTTATTTTAGAGCAATGATAGCATATGGTTTCGGAAAGCCGAACACTCATCCACTTTCGTGTGATGTACGAGCGAAACTCACTTTTCCTACCGACATACCTTATGGTTCGGCCCTCTAAGCATATGGAATTTTAACTTTCGGGGCGTACTTCACTGACGGAGCAACGTTTCTCACCACCCTCGAAACTTGAAATTTAACTCCCGTTATCGTAAGATAGGTAATCCATTCATAATTCCCATAATACATTAATGGAGAACAGAAGGAAAGACTCTTCCACCATCAGGAGATTCCTCGCATAGATTAAATTCCAATGAAACGTTGTAGCAACCTCGAACAAGACAGCGATGATCCGAAACCTAGCACCCTAAAAATTTGTCCCTGTTCACAGTAGCTCGACAAGCATTCAGCCCTAGAGATAAGATCTGGCAGAAGCAACGATCCGGCTCGATTCATCCCTGAGGCGGTAGGAAAGAGTTAGTCGGTGCGGGGCTATTAATAATCGTCGCGTAGAAGGCGCGTGCTGGCTGAAGATGGTCGTGTGTCGCGTAACGGGTGGCAAGGAACGTTTGTTTGCTCCTGCTGGCCACCGGATTGACAAACAGACAACGAATCGACAACGATGAGTAAGAACAAGGTGGAGGACACGTTTTCACGCCGCGGCCGGTTCAAAATAGTACCTAACGATCCGAGAGATTTATCAGGACTTAATGGGCCGGGGGGCTCGTAAAAACGCCTGCAACCGAGACTTTGTCAACGACTTTGTCAAAGTTATATCAACAGAGGCACGCTGCCAACAGCTGCCGAGGCCTGCCACGTTATTTCGACGACTTGTTTATAGTCACGACATCGGGAGGGATGCTGGGGGGAGAACGATCTCGTTCGAGGAACGGCTTTTGCTCCGTTTCCAGAACAATTTGTTTACACGTTCGTTTTCTCACAATCAGATAAAAGAAACTACGTTTATGAGCAAGCCGGACGAAGCCGGACGAAGCCGGACGAAGCCGGATGAAAAAAAAAAAAAAAAAAAAAGAATACATCGAATTCATGGATTGTCGTTTAAAATCGCGACAGTCGAGCGATTAATCACGGTTCCGCGAGTCTCTAATGATTTTACGGTGTAATGTAATTTGGTTCCACGGACGAACGGTAAGCAAGCAGCAAGGCAGAGGGAAGTCTGAGACACGATCAGCTTATTCCACTCTGCTGGACGGCCAAGTAACACTGATGCGATTAAGCCCCTTTCGCAAATTATGCCATTACACATTAGATAAACGTCTGTTTGACTTTGCCTCTTGGCACTGTTCCTCCACTGATTCATCGACTTGAAATTTCCAACCATCAAAGAATCTTACGCGAACAACGATAAACGAGAAACGATAATTACTCTTTGCTTCTTTGGGGAGGATAACCCGTAAGAGTTTAATAAAAGTTGGGACGTTCGATCTTCGGAAAGTCGATTACTAGCGAACGTTCGTCACGATGTCTGGAGATGAAAACAGAGTCGTTTCGTTCATCTTCCCGTTAACGAGAAAACAATTCCGACGAATAACAGGAAAATCTCGATACAATCGTCCTTCTTTCAATAATGATTTTACTCTGCACACAGAAGAAGTAGTAAGGGTCGATTCGGATCGCGATCGCTTCAGAGACAAATCAACGAGAAGCAAGAATCTTTGGAGAGGAAGGAGAGAAAGGAGAGAAAGGAGAAGGGTCGAAAGCGTCTCGGCAAGCTGACGGAGGCTCGAGTGGGTGCAAGTCACCCCGCGATCATTCGGCGCACCGTTCCTTAGTTCCTCCGTTCCTCCGTTCCTCCGTTCACCGACACGCTGTTCGTAGTGACATCACAAAAAATCACGGTGCCGCTTTCCGGCCGGATATCTTTCAATTACCCGTTAATATGATAGGCGGCGGGCGTAGTTGCAAGTCACCGACACGTCGTTGCCCGCAGCACGCACGCACACACTTAGCCAGCCACCCGCGTGATTAATCGACGTCAACCGCAGACCATGCCACGATACGATACGAAACGAAACGCACAAGCTCCGCGGGCAGAATCGTCCGACGCTTGTTGACGCGTCGCGTCGTGTCGCGTCGATTCCTAAATTTACGCCGATAACAAGGCTCTTTTTCTTAACTAATTTTCATCGATAACACGTGCGAACGATGAAACAACCTCTGTATCGCTAAATACTCAAACTAATTCGAGAGAAACAAGAAAACAACGAGCTTTTCCCAGACGAGTGACAGCAAACCGGTGTCTTTTCCCATGATTCCTCGAGGGTGGTGGAAAACGATTTATGGGAGGACCGTGGTGTCGCTGTCGAGAAGCATCGAGGGTTCCTTAACTCGTACCTGAGGCGAAAGCACGATCTGGTAGATAAGGGACTCCAAGTAGATTGGAGCTGTTGTTTCTTTTCTTTTCTTTTCTTTTCTTTGAAATTAAAGCTGATAAGAGGGAACAACGTGAGCGTGGTTTATCGAAGAAGAAACATTCGATTTTACTTGTAACAAGCATCAAACTCTTTTCACTTTCCTTCGAGGAGAAATCTTTTTAAGACACCACGACATCGTAAACAAAAGGTCTGTTCGCGTTATTATTAATAACGAGGCTGGAAGGCTAAAACGCTTTCAACGTTTAAGTTGGCTTCGGTTCGCGACGAGGCGGACGTCGTATGAAAACATTCTTCGTCGATTTACTTTCGGGAATTCACGCATAAACGTTGACGTATTTAAGGGAGGCTGTAAACCATCTATTTCGGTGTGTCGACGGGAATAATCGCAGCCACCGGCGTGGATTATCGGCTGCCTCGAGGATGGTCTAACACGTTGCTACTACATACAATATCTCGGCGACCTTCGAAATAATTTTTTAACTACGAAGGAAATAATCGTTATAGGGTAGCCGAGTACCTACATACGTATATCGGAATTGCTATCGCAACGAGGAGGAGGGCTTGGTCGTCGGGTAGATTTGCTGGTTGAACGACGGTACGACAAGGAGTTATGATATCGGGACCGATCGCCGCGCCAAGTGAAAACACGCTGGCGTGAGTAATATACAACCATAGGGCGATCTTTTATAGTGCAGAGACTGCGAAGGGAATGATCCGCGGCCACGTCCGCAGATAGGATCGTTCTAACCCCGAGACGAGAAGAGAAAACGGAGAAGAAGAGGGGTCAAGGAGGAGCGAACCCGGAGCAGTCAGCGATTCTAGTCGTAAATAAAACCACGTCTGCTACCAATGCCAATCCTCGACCAAGCCCGCTAACTGTCGGCTAAACCTCAGCCTTTATGGGTTTCGTATGCATTTGAACATTACGATACCGAACGCTTTCGAATCGAATTAATTAACGATTACAGAAAACACTCGGAACTGCTATCTTTGTCACGAATGGAACAGACCTTCCTAATAAGTTGTTTCAAATAAACTCATTACCGTGTTCGTGTCCCACTTTCGCGCACGTAATCGCGGTAATAATCCTAAAAATCCAATCGAACGGTACCGTTCGATTCCGTTCGATTCCGTTCGATTCCGTTCGATTCCGATCGATCTTCAACACTTTGAAATCCGGAGAAAAATAAAAGTTTAATTAAATCTGCAAGAACGGTAGAGTAAAAAAAGGACGGGTTCTCGAGTGGACCGAGTGCTCTCGAAGCAGAAATCATCGTTGGCCGATCGTGCGAAACTCGTTACTCCGGCGGAGCCGTTAGTCTCGCGAATAAAGAAAGCAAGTTGTATCGAGGCCTGGACGTCCCGAGGAGCGAATCGCGAAACGATAACGTCACTGCTCTTGATTTCCACGCGTAATCACGCCACCTTGGACAGTTCTAAATAGTTGGCGAGACCGCCAATCGCAATTTCATTCGCGTTAACTTCCTTTGCGCTCGCATCTATCCGGTTGCTTTATAAATTCCTTCCGCCTATACCTCGCGTCACGAAACTTCTAAGTCATTTGAAAAACGATCCGACATAATTCACTGTATCGAGTTTTTCCCTACAGATGAGTTTCACCGATTGAGGACAGGATTAATGAAAAATACCGAATCTTTCCAGTAAGAAAACTGGTTTCTCTTCCGAGCTGCGCTTTAATCGTTAATGATGACCATAGACAAGCGGCAGTCGTTAACACGAGTTATTTTGTGAAAATAGTATCTTTAACCCTATTCGTTTCGGTTGCTAGCACGCCGAGTATATCTATCTTCTCGTAATATCATCGGTGTTTAAGTAAGAATCCCTGAAAAATAGCTTGACTCGCACACCATTTCATTCGAAACTAATCCTTTTTTAACGACATGGAATACGAGCAATTATCGCGGTTTATGTTCACCGATAAACTTTAAGAATCAACCCGGAAGCGTTCGTGCTTGATTGCGTTTTCAAATTAATTAAGGGTAAAATTGTTACGATAGCACGGGTATATATATAGGAAAGGAAGAAAAATGGCGGAACCTATCCAGGAGAGGACGAGTTACGCTGGCACGAGAGCAATCAGAGACGGGGGTAATTTAGCATTATTGCGTTATTGACGTGTGTGGAAGTGGAGAGAGCTGGAACCAAAGAAGACCGATGAACCGTGGCACAGCGTTGCGTATACCGCGATTAGGACGGCCACGATTTGAATGATTAGATAGGGTGGACGATTCGGAAGATGCTTTTTGCCGTCGGTGAAATAACAGCCTCCGGGCAAAAGCAGGCGGACGCGGACGCGTTCGTGACCGGTAGACACGCATCTCTTCGCCAACAGGTCGATAGTTCGCACGAATAACACCGACACTACCGCTCTCCACGATCCCATGATGCCTACCTAAGTACACGTGTCCGCTTCCTCTCCCTTATCATCCCAACCCTACACCCTTGTCTTATACCACGATTCCCGACAGGTGTGTCGGCTTCGCCATTAATGCGCCATTCCAACGAACGCGAAACTCTTAAACCTTCGTTCGGATTATACACTCTGCGCATTCTCCGCGAATCGTGACAATAACTCGTTCGCGGCACATCATTTCTACATACATATAAAGAAGACTCACCGTAATTAATCCAGGCACGATTGGTGGGTCCAGATTTATTCACACACACGTAAATGCGTACATTGAATTTAGAACGCGATTCACAAACCGCGAACAAATAGACGCGACCGACGCGACGTTTATGCGATATGTTAACCTCGAACGAGGGTAACGCGGACTGAATCGTGAAGTTCACTTGACGATGTTGATGTTGATCTTGATCGAGGCGGTGAGTTTAATAACCTGTATTCTGTATTCTGTGTCCTTTGCGATACACCGATATGATATGATATGATATGATATTGTCACTGAACGAGACACGAAATGGAACTGATACTGATACGTCCGATCTCGATACGATTTGACACGAACCTGAACTTGAAGCGGTTCACGGTAACAGTGCTACCAATTTGCGTAATACCAACGTAACGTTAATACCATCCTTAAATTTTTCAAAGAAAGACAATATACTGAAATTTAATTGTGTTTTCCTTTTTCTGTTACATTCCATTGCATTATTCGTTATTTTCTTCGGCAAAATTTTCTTGCTCGTTCGTACGCGATTTTGATTTTAAATTCAACTGAAAATTTTTCATTTCTTCCGCTCGGAGATACGCGTAATTCTTCGATTCATAGATTTTTTCAATCTCGTCTTTGCTTACCGCTGCAAAGAAACGTTCGAATAAAAAATCATATGATAGTATTGTTTTGATAGAACCTTTCAAGTAGTTGCCAACGCTTTGAAAATGATATATGTACATAATATCAAGAAATTTTGTTACGTATTAATCACATACACGACAACTGTTCATTTCTCAGGGCATGAATGTCTTCCAATGTATGATCTTCTTTTTCATTTTCGTCTGACGCGGTTTTAGGTGTTTGAATTAGGCTGCCCGGAGCTAGAAAATATGTTTAACATTGTTTTCGATATCAAATACGAATATAATACTTACCAACTACAATATAACGCTGCGCCATGCTTTTGTTCACCCCTAAACTTGGACGATCGATGTCTGGTTCAATGGTTTCACCGTGCGTCGCAGAATCATCCTTTGTTTTAGCAGACTTTTTTGAACCATCATCTGGCTGTATGATTTCCGTCAAACTATCATTTTCACGATTCTCAGTTTCCTTCGCATCCTGAATATCTGTTTTTAATAATCAACAGAAAAGATACATTCCAATCAAAACACACTTGGAAACACAGTTTTTCATAAAATTATATTCTTATGTATATCAAACATTCGAGTCGATATTCGTTTTCAATACTGTTTATTTCCATTTTATTATCTATCAAAACGATATAAAATTGATACAAAATCCGTATAAAGTAATACATCACAAAATTTCAGCAATATTCATTTACAAAGAATTTACAAAGTTCCATTAAGCTGACAAATATTGATTAATTAATTAATTTAATTAGGCACCTCTTTACCCTGTGCCCCACCCAACGTTGAAACATGAGCATCGTTATGGAGTTTTCTAACCGATGGTTGAATCTCGGCCAGTTTTTCCCCGGGTTTTGTGGTTTCATTGTTGCTCCATTTGTTAAAATGTTCTGGGCTGTATGGGTAAGGATCGCCGGGTATTCTTATATAGTTTCCATCTGAAGTGTATTCTTCGTCTCTGTATTCCATTTCATCCGCAGGATTAACGTATCCTTGGTCGTTTTGAACGTCACTCGACGCAGCGGTGCTTTGTAGAGGTTCTTTGCTTTTCTTGACAATCGATTTTTCTAAAAGAAAGCACACGTGATCGTACTACAAACGTTGTTAAGACACTCGGTAGATTTAGAGAATCCCATTACCTGGCACAGCTTCCAAAGCCATGGACTCGTACGTAGGATAAAAGTCATCCTCGTAAGGAGTACTCGCGTAATCGAAGCTGGCTTGAAAATCTTCGGACAGAGAACGTAATTGTCCTTCATTTTCCGCCTGCCTTTGATCCTGTCTATCGATCGCCATTCTACTATTTTCCCGCATACTTTGATCCTCGTCACGCGCACTATTCATCGACATCTCCATGTCCATTTCCCTATCAGCAATGCTGTTCAAACTGTCTCTGAAGTCCTGGTCCATCTCTGCCTGTCTTTGTTGATCAAAGTTTGCCGTTGTCTCTTGTCGACCCTCGACATTCACTCCCTGATTGTCAGAAGGATTCTCAGCGAGCTCCGTGTTGTCGCTTGACCTCTGATCAAATCTGCTTTCCGCCTGTACTTCTGCAGCGATGGGTACCGGTTCCGTCTCCTTCGCGGTGCTCTGATCGCTCCTTTCCCAGCCACTGTCAGTACTGGTGGAAAAATCTGACAAAGAGACGGTTGATAAGTGACACATGCAATGTTGTATAAAAATCGGCGTGTGTCACTTACCTAACGCCCTCTGCGAGGCGACAAAACCTACACTATTGTCGATTGTATCAAGAATTCGAGAAGAACCTTTTCGCGTAAAGCATGTCGATCCAGTGTGCAATTTCTTGCTATCCAACTTCTGAACATCGGCACCACTTCCGGCACGAGCAATGTCCGGCTTGAAGCTGGTGCGATCGTCCGAGGAGAATTCTGCTTCATCCTCTTCTTCGTTCATTGTTTCGTCGCTGGAAGAAGACGTAGGCACAGCCTGCACGTCTAATTTTGGTCGCGGTGCTTCGGGTCTTATAGACAGCATCTCAGCTTGTCTTCCATCCTCTGGTATGAACTGTTCTTTCGAAGGATCCACGGGCACTTTCGATCTCAGAACTAACTCTTTCCAAGCTGTCACCTCCGCGTCGACGTGTGTCCCTGGAGGAATGTTGTAGTCTTCGTCAACAACGCCTCCCTCGGTCATCATACCTGGAGACACGTTCTTCGAGGACTCAGATTTCTTTGCTAGTTGCTTAGCATTATTCAAAGGAGTTGTTTCTCTTCTTTCCATCTGTCCCTCTGTTTTCGCGTCTATACTTTCAGAATCCTTGGAAGAACTCATGGTCAATTGTAAATTCTTCATGTCGTAAACAGGAACCTGATAACCAGAACCCACTGACTGCTGAAGTTCCATATTTTCACTCTTTGCAACCTCTTCTGGAAGTCTGACACCCCACTGATGACGTAAGTTTATGTCCAAGTTATCGTGAAGGGTACCTTCCGCTTTCAGAGTCGGATCGTTTTGATCGGTATCACCGAGACCACCTTCCATGCGTATTACAGGCTTCTTTTTCTTCTTCTCTTTCTTTTCGTCTTTCTTTTCTTGCTTTTCAGGCATGTTTGGCTCTCGAATCGGTGGTTTAGTATTCCTGGGAGTGCAGCCCATTATTGTTCGAATCGAAGTGTCTATTTTTTCAGACAAAGCCAGAAGATGGTGACGAGGAGAAAAACGCTGGGATTTTTCATAATCGATATTGTTGTTCTTTGGGTCATAAAAGTTTCTTCTGTACTCGATGGAACCTTGATCGAATTTCAAGTTTATTAAACTCGCTTCGTTGGTTTCCGGATAATCGAGCACTGTCACTGGACCACCACTGATGCTCACTTTTCGAGCTTCCTGCATTCCATCGTCTACAAAGCGTTACATTAGCACTGCTCTACACGATCACAGTTATTATTTTACGCACGCGTTGTTCAATTTGAACATTATTGAAAAAAAAAAGAAAAAAAAAAGAAAAAAATTGTAATTTATTTGGTTGAAGCGATAAAGTCGAAATTTGGTTACAGGAGGCTTTATTTTCTCACCAGATCTGAAGATGTCTTTCAACCAAGAGAAGACATTGTCAGCTTTCTTTTTGTCTTTGTCTTCTGCATATCTTATCGACGCTGCAAGAATGAAATTTCTTACATAAGTAGATACCATTCGACGACACTCGGTTTGTAATCACCTTGTATGAAATTTTAAGCAATACCATTGGCAAATGGCTTACCTCCAGATAAATTTCTCCTAAACGCAGGGTTAAAAATGGCTCGTACCAATTCGAAGGAACCAAAATGTCCCCTTAGCATGATTAAAAAATTGCGAAAATCGTACGCTACAAGTGACACTAGGTAAATTTTGTTATCGTCGACGTTTCCTGAATTTTCTGTCTCGATTGACCTCTCAATGATCTTCATTGACAGGTTCATCAGACTGTCTGCTTTTCCTAACTCGCTTCTCTACTTTTTCTATACGTTTTGTCGCTTGGTTCAGCGAAGAAAAAGAAGTGGCAACTACGTTGCCTTGAAATAATGAGAGAATGCTAGGAAAAGCGATGGTAGACGTAACTTTCGCATCAAGAAGTTGGCATCGAGACATAATTATTCCCAGCAAATCGACCCACGCGAGTTCCATCGACTCATCGAAGCCACAGCCTGGACTCCGGTTAATCATTGCCAAAACTTTTCTCCCCATGAGACCAGGGACCCTTCCGCGAAGCTTAATGCCATAATGGACAGTTTTCTTTCTCTTTTCGATTGCCTCCTTATTGATCCGAAACCACTAAACTCGTATGCGTTGCCTCGCAAACATCTTGCTTACGGATTCGCTTCAACAACATAAAATTACATAATTCAATAACAGGGAACGCGTTTATATACATAGATATGTACTACATATCTTGGATCGACTGAGTAAAGAACTTTGAATTTTTTAGAAGTAAAGCAAAATTTCTTGAATACGAGTACACTGCAACGAGCAAGTTTTGCATTTGCGATGCGCGCATACAGCTGCCGCGCCAAGTTTCGTTAAAATAATTAACGATAAAAAGCTTTCCTTAGAAGCTATTCAATAATATATCGTGCTATGACTGACGGTTTTAAGACTCTGCTCTTATTTCTGGGTAAAAGAATTATTCATCTTTGAGTTTCGAACTTCCTGCATCTTCCGGAAAAGAAATACGGTAAAATTTCTATTATGAACCTGTCTATACATATAATAAAAACAAAGAACATATGAAACATCGATGCAATTTTACTAAATTTTTAAATATGGTGCCGTAAAAGGAAACTCTACATTCCTGTATTTTTCATCATCCAAACCCTCCAATTTCCTTAAATTCTTCATAAAGTAATGCTGAGGCAAAGGTATATCGTAAGATACTTTCAATTACTCGAAAATGCAGATCGCGTAGCAGTGAAAGGTTAGGGTAACTATTTCTTGGAAATAATGTTTATTTCAAGCAATTATGAATTTGACTGTAATAACAGATCCATACTATCAGCATACTTGGACGTTTAGAAAGCTGTGGAGACAATTGAAGAATAAAATTCGTAAAGCACCTAAACGTAAGTACTTAACTTGCACTTACCTATTTTCTATTACTTGATATGTGGAAGCTAATTGATTTTACAGATTCCCCCTCAACTAAGGAGAAAGAAATGAATCCTACAGACACCGCTTCACCTGGCTCATCTGCTTCGTCGGAAATTCACGAAATATGGAAGCCCACTTATCGCGGTCGAACTCAAAGCAGCAGATTCTAAGTGCAAACTAATGTACCTAATATGTAACGAAATTTTATTTTATCAAATAAAATAGTTGGAAGCAATAGGAGTATTTTAATTGATCGAAATAGGTATTATACATTCGTTTCTGATAAATGTTCGCCGTGAAAAAGTGTTGGCGAAAAAAGATTACACGCAAAATGAATCGGTTCCTGTTTCCCAGGAAAAATAAATGTCTTACGTGTTATCAGATCTCCCAGGAGGAGATCCGAGGAGGGCGCCGCGCCGCGCCGCGCCGCGCCGGTCGGTTCGTGATGTCGCATTCGAATGGCCATGGCGATTCGGCCCACGTACCGCAGCTAACCGTTAATAAAAGCTTAAAGGACATTATCGTAAGCATTCGGCGGGACATTAAAAAAGCGCACGTGCCTTTAACGGTAGCCCGGTCGATGCAATTTTAAACAGCTATTTCCGGCCACTGGCACCTATCGTCCGCGGTGACACATGTCCTCGATGCTGTTACACGAATCCAAGGGATCCACCCTTGCTTGAATACCAATCGCAAGGGGATCATACAGAAGGGTGAACGTCTGCTCGGGGACGTGTCCTTCGCGCAATCAAAACAAACATCCTCTTCCGTTTGATATCAATCCAGGTTATTTCTCCCCCTTGACTTCGGACTTTCAGGGGGATTAATTTTTTGTCACCTTTGTTTTTCTAAGGACGATGAGTACCTCCTATCGGTTGTTTCTTATTAAACATTGAAATCAGAGTGAAGGGTTGTTGACGGAAATGAAGGGTGGAGGACGTTTTCAATATCTTTCTCTACTTGAAGCATCGTTGAGGGTAGCGTTCGCGACGTACCATCGTTCCTTCGCGGAACCCGTGCGGTTATTTTTTTTCACCGGTCCAAGAGGAACGAAGGGTGGGACATTAGCCATAAATTCGTGAGTCCCCAGTGGCAAATAGCGGAGGAGCCGCCATGCCAATTGTATAAATTGGCTATGACAAACTTATCGTCCTGCTGCTATGCGGCTATACACAGGCCTCGCGATCCGGCACAAGTCCCCTACACGTCCTACGGGGTCGATACTATTTCCGTTGCTAGGAATTTCGTGCAGGTGCGTTACCACCGTGGTTCCCCCGTGATCGTTTGAGACATCGTTCCCCGGAGGTCTACGGGAAAACGTGACGTTCCACCTTTAGCCGCTCACGTACCACCGACTGCTTTTGTCCTGCGATTCGTCGTCGCGTACGACCTTTTCTTTTCCAGACTGGAGTTCGTAAATCGTACGTTTTCCTTTCGAAGGAATTTTCTGACAGGGGTTCGCAGCCAACTCGTACAAGGTTAAAAAATAAAAAATAAAATTCTCGAGAACTACATATGTATAGTAGGTATAGATTTCGATCCAGTTAAGAACGATTAACAGGCCATTGTCGTCGATCCGCAGATCAGAATCGCGACGATTAATTCCCGGGTCTGTCGTCGACAATCGTTCAAGTTGGAAAACGATTTTGCCACCCGTTCGAAGCGTGTCGAGGAAGAAGGGTGAGTTTACATTTAGGGGGTAGCGCGTGGGGGTGAAACCGCTCGTTTATCAGTAACCGACTCTAGTGAAAGCGACACCGAGCCTCTACGCCGCACGAATAACAATCCTGCCCCAACCCTTGCGCGATCCCGATGCGAAAAGTATTGGCTCAGCCACCCTCCACGGCCTCCTTCGAACCTTGGACATTATTTACACGGCCAACCACCTTTTTCTTTTTTATTTTCAATTCACTTAGAAGCCAGCGAGGAATTTTCTGGCTTTAAAATCACCCGTTTCGGTCCCTCCTTTTTTCGAAATCCACCCTTGAGAATTCGAGACGTCGTTTCTGATTTTGACCGATTTTATAATAGAAAGTGAAATAAAAATTGTATCATGACCTCGCATGCCTCGATGGTAAGAGCGAAGAATAGAGTAGAGGAGGACGCGAAACACGGTTCAAGGGTGGATCAATCGCACCTCCCGTTTCGGGTAGCCTCTTCTTTATAAATGAGAGAACGAAGGGGGTGGACGTTCGAGGGATGAGACGAGTTTCGAAGCTGCAGTTTAGATATTCACCGGTTGATTACCGTCCCGATGGGGTAGGCCCACGGAAAGGGGAATCCCCTGGAGGACGCTAACTCGACAACTGACAAATTAGCCCGCCGCCACGACGACACTTGTAAAATGGCTCGACAAGAAGATGGCCCGGCTCTCCGCTTCGAATTTCACGCCGCTACGGATCGAAACGTGTAGTCCAAGTCGATTAACCCCATGGATACACGATTTAATAGACTCCTGATTAATGGAAATAAATTACCCGTTTAACCTGACAGAAATTTACGCGCTGGCTGTAAGCTATTTTTGATTCTCCACAGCACAATAACGTACCGCTCGAACCGCTTCAAAGGAAGATAAGAATTCAAAGAAGAAACCGATCTTCAAAGCAAGCCATGTAAAAAGAGGGAACCTCATGGCGCGGAACACGCGACGAGCAGCAGAAAAGTGGTAGCTAAATGTTGTTCAAGATGGCAGGTGGATTCCCTCGGTTGTCACGAGATTCTGTCTTTCTCCCTGTTCTCGCGAGTGGATTTCAGGGCTTTGTAGTCATCCATTTCCAAGCTCACCCCCGTGCATTATTTAAATAAACAAGAGACTAAGCAGGGATGGGCAGATTGGCTGGCATCTCTTATTCCGCGAGGCAGCAGTTCAGTGACGAACAATTATCCCCTCCATCGGGGGGAGGGAGGGGGGGAAGAAGAGTTTGTCGGCTGACGAAGCGACAGCCCATAGGGGGTGCAGACGCTGTACCCGCGCCTTCTAATGAATTTTAAATTGCCTCGCATTCATAATGCAGCCCCGTTGACAGTCGGGATGAACCGGAGATGACAAAGTAAAACGGTTCGACTTAATATTTCCGGCTGCGAAACGAGCCAAGACGTGAGACGCGAAAATTACAGGGGTCCCGATGCTGGATAACATCAGCCACAGACTTTCTCTTCTCGCTATGTTTATATAAATCTAAATTCTTCTGTTCGTCCTTTAAAAGATATACTCGTACGCGAACCTGTTAAAGAGCTCTTCTGGTTTAAAGGCAATTTTCACGAGTTTCTGTTTCTCCGCGATCATTTTTCAAACGGAAATATAAATTTCTTCGAGCGTGTTTAGGTCGAACTTGTGAAAGTCGCGAGTGGTTTATTGTTTCTCGCCTGGGGTGAGTCACTTTGGACAGACTACTCGTTTATGTTTGAAAGTTTTAAACAAAGTTGTTTAACGCATTCTTGCCCGGTGTTATTTAACGCGTTTACTGCGATGGCGGTCAACGCCAATGACCAGCGCCTCGAATGTAATGTAATCTGGAATATCCAGAATGAATAATAAAATGAATCTTCAGGCGAATATGCAGGATTATTTTGAAACTACAACAGAATCTCGCGTCACGAAACGAAAGGTTGTTTTGACACGTATAATTTCACCGACCAATTATCTGGATACATTCAGCGATGTGCTTTCGTGTCGGTTATAGATTCAAGCGTATCATCAACAATGTTACAGTTATTTAATAGCGAACAATGGACGATCGTTGCGTGCGAGATACATGCGTGTAAATTATTAGTGCCGTCTTCCTGTTGGCTACCTGGCTCGTTTGATACATTGTATACCGGCTACTGACCAACCGAATATTAATTTTTACGACAGATTCGAATCTCACGCTGCACGA